GAGCCCCGGAGACAATGCCCGTCGGCCACGAACCCCCTCGCGCATCCGGTGCGTTTTCAAGGAAGCTTTCGGAGCATCGTGACACATATCAATTGATTTTCACGGGCGCAGGTCGGCCACCGCTCCGTTCGACATATCGAAAGCGTGCAACAACCGCGTCGATTTCGTGCCACGAAATACCACCGGGACGAACGACGAAAGTTCGAGCGGACGGGTTCGACGATTTCTTTTCGACGGGATCCAAGTAATGCCTGTCGTCGGCATTGCGTACCGCCATCACGCGGCAGTTACTAATTTAATTACAATGAGACACCGATTGCACGATTAACATATCGTTAAAATACCGCGGCGCGGTAATTATACGCTTTCTAGGGGCACGGGTCGCGGCCGATTTGCATACCGTTCGGAGAATATAAACAACCGCAAGCGCGGGAAGATTTGACAACGATTGCTCGTTAGAACGTTCCACGGTTGTGCAATTAAATTTCTAGATCGATTTGATTATGCTTCACCAGAGATACCTCGAAAAATGTCACCCACGAATGCTGAAGTATCGAGTAATTTATTCTACCTGGTGTTCACGAAAATGTGATTTATGCCTAGATGCGATAAAAAGCATAATACTGACAGAGTCGCACTGTTTCTTTCTGTTTCTCGTTCACCTATTAATTTTAAGAAACGAAAGCCAGATCACGAAATTCTCGTCGCTAATGAACGGTGCGAGTAGCAAGGATATTATATAGAATAGCAAGCCTGAATTGTATCAGATACCATTCACCTGACGCTCAACGTGTCAATAAAGCCCTGAGCAGCCTCGGTTAATTTCCGAGAGCGGCGCCGAAAGGTTGCGACTTCGATCGTCCTCGACGTGTGTCTTCTATAAATTCTCGAGCATAGTTGCAACGTCCCTTGGTTGAAAGCACTTTGTTTTACAACTCGACACCCACCTCTCGTCTCTATGCGTACGCACGCGCGTTCACCGTTCGCACACTGTCGCGCCTATGCCAGCCGTTCAACACAATCATCCACGGACATGTAAAACCGGGCCCGACGTTCTACACAGAGCACGCGCTGCGTTCAATGTAAAGCGTTAAAACGGTACGTGATCGAATTCGACAAACGACCGGACACTCGCCACTCGGAGCCACCATTTCGCGCTCGTCGCCGGAATATCAAGCAGAGAGATCGTTAGAAACGTTTTAGAATTAAGCGGGAGGCTTTTGTCGATGCCTCTCGCCGTAACCGAAGATCGATTAGAATGGAACGCGATCCCGCACGGTGAAATCCGGCTAATGAAAATCGGCCGTGCGACACATTTGCCCTCGAAATCGAAGGACGGATGCAAGCGAAAATTTGGCAGTACCCGCCTGTACAAGTGGCCCGCTTGCGTAATCTCGCGTAACGCGAGAGGAATTTCGAATAATTTCATTTCATAATTCACCGAATATTTATAAAAAAATATGAAGTAGCAATTTTAAATTTGCCTGTCCTCGGTTGTCAAGAGTTACCATGTGGGCGTGCAAATGAATTAGGATGTCGGATCGAGTCCTTGGTCCGACTAAAGGCAGAATCTTAATTCGACGACCTTCGCGTAAAGATGGCCCCTAAAGTATACCAATGTCGATTAACATCGGAAGAAACGAAACCAAGTTAACCATTGATACGGCCCTGCCTCAGGTTCGAGCGGTTACAAGGTGTTCATTGTTATTAGCGACGGTCACGAGCCGTGCCAAGCGGCAAGAACAACTTCTTCCTCGAGATCCAACGCCTCTCGGCAGGCCATTAATGTTAGGAAATCCCTATTCATTCGGTTCCATCGTCGAGTCTGCTCGAAAGTCATCTTTCGAGAATTTACGGAGGTGTAATGTTACAAAAGCACTTGGACAGCTTCCATTCGAAACAATGCATATAATCGTTGTGCTCTCGATCGAGCGCCGACTATTTTGAATACTTTCCCACAGGCTTCCCGTTGAAAAATCTATTCAAAACGTCGAGACCCCGAACACGTCCACGCGTTACGTGCGCCTCTCTATGATTCACCGAGAGCAAACCGTATAGTAGATAGAAAGACTCATTATCGTCGAACGAGCATCAAGTTAACGTGACTCCGCGAAATAATCGCGGCCGCGCGTTAACGCGAAATCAGCCGTTCCGATCGTGAGACGAGAGCGAGAAGAGAGAAGAGAGCGAACGTTTCTGTGATGCCATTTCAAGCAAACCCGGTAGGTATCACCTTGATCCCTGAAATGTTAGGTTCAACGTCTTCTGCATAAACTATCTGTCTCCATCAGCTGGAGAAAGAGGCTGCCGGGCCTCCTCCGCTCTCGACCCGGCTCGAGCCTCTCGCTACTCGTATCGCGGAATTAGATTACGTATCTGCCCCGGCTATGTCCGTGATTTATTTATCGAGCCCTGGGCTCCTCCAGGCGTGCTGCGGTTTCAACACCTTTTGACGCGTGTATTTACGATTATGAGAATTACACAAGGCAATTAGAGCCGTCCGGACGGTATAAATACGGGTAATTGTGCGGTGTTCCGCTCGCGGGCGTAAATTACGCGGTTGCCGGCAGAAAATCGACGAGGATCCTTCCTATGATTTTTATATAATCGCAAAATTTCCAATCGCGATCAAACTCTTCGAAGAATCATACATCGATAACTGAACTATTCAAAGGGGGTACCTGATTTTGACGTTCAACCTTCGACGCGTATATCTACTTTGATTCGTGCAATTTTGCGAAGCATCGGTGGCTAATAAAAATTCCCGCGGAAAGGAAACTCGAGTAGGTTGAAGTCTACTTTGCAGAAGGGGGGCTTTATTGCGCTCCAAAGTGCTACAAAATTGCAGACACCTCGTGATCGCGGCGAACAGCCATCTCTGAAAGATCTCCCTATGGTGGACCATGAGAGGGAGAGGAGGGACGAAAAATACGTTCGATCGACGGATCGGCCGGTTACCGTTCAAGGGTTAGAGGCTTACACAGAACGATCTCGCTTGGACGGCTCATTTTCACCTGGGGTTACCTTTGGCACACAATCATCCGCCATTAAGGTCGTCTGCAAAAATCCCGAAAACACCGGAATATCCCTTTACACGGGGCAAGAAAAGGCGATCTCTCGTGGTACGCGGATAAACCGTGCGCGGTGGGTATATCACGAACAGCCCCGTGATCTCGCGGCATGATCTTTCAAGATCGAGAGTGGGACGAGATGGTGGAAGGAAGAAAATAAGACGGTGTCGGCTTAAGAGGCGAGCGAGAGACATGCGAAGCGCGAGAAAGAGGAAACGAGCGCTAGATCTCGAGCAACGATCGCAGATCATCTTCCCTCTTCGACCGGTCTTCTCGTCCTCGATCCTAGAAGGAGGCGGCGGGGGCGGAATGTACCAAGCGTTGCTACGCTCGCTGGCGTCGCTCCTGCCGCCGCCATTATCAAATTATTCACTCACACCGTGCGCCATCTATCTTCGGCCAGCGCGATCCTAACGTGTTATTATTTGATCCTCACTTTGTTAGCGATCTGACTCTAACAGCCCCGCGATATGTACCTGGGTAGATCCTGCTCGCTGATCTAGAGTACTTCTCACGATCTCGCGCCGGCAGCTGAGATGCTGACCGACGCTTTCAAAACGGACCCTTCTTGCACGCCAGGAGCTGCTGCCTGTGCCATCTTTGTCGCACGAAATGGACGATAGAATGGAAACTAACGGGGATCGGTCGCCCCCGAGATCGTACCGCGATAACGTCAGGATTCTTGAAAGAATAACTTATTACGATTACGGTCCTGGCAAATTTTAATATTTTCCCGCTGTTACGGAGGTTCGAGGATCGAAAGAGATCGGCAACAGAGATAGGAGAAACGGAAGTCGCTTTGATGGGAAGAGATTCGATGCTGATGGTCATTTTTTAATATCCATCATCCTTCCAAGAATTGCAAAATATTTTACTGATAAGTATTGAATTTGAAAAACATTGTTTCTAAAGGATTAGAGATGTTTCGCTTGAAAATTCATACTTTTAATAAATGATTCATTTCTGCAATAGATAACGGATGCATCGAGTGCAGTTGCATCAAAGGTCAAGTGCTTATAAAATATTTCAAGAAGAATCGCAGGGAACTTGGAACAGTTCAAAGTTTTATCATCCTTGTATATTAACAAGCTCATGAACCTGTGCAAAGTAGTAATTCAAAGGGATGCAACGTAGAATTATTAACGCATCAAATGAAATTCGTAACAATATGATGCTTCGTGTCTACGATTCCTTGATGATCCTCATAATCTTTCTACTCAAGGAGCATGGCTCGAGCGTTTACTAGAAGAAACAACATCGCACGGAAATTATAAGCTTGTAAAATGTAATAAAGAATAAGTTTGGGAAGATCTGGATGTTCAAATGTTAACACCTTAAACTACTATAATCGTACGCTTATTAAGGACAAGATCTATAAATAATTGAACATTTAACGATGGCTGACTGGGATCACTTTTTAGCATTGAAGGGGTTGAAGGGGATTCTTTGTTATTAATGTTAAATTAAGGTTAATACCTGTGGATATTAGTCGTCGAACAAAGAGGTAAAAAAGATATTGAACTTGAGACTGGCATTCGGAACGAGGGAAAAGTGAAAGGCGCGAAACGACGTTAAACACGTGAAACACAATAATAATCGAACGTTTCGTGTAATCGCTCCCTGTATAGCTGTAATCGCGGAACTCGTTAAAAGTCGTCTAACTTAGTTTTCCCTTGTCATTAACGCCGGCTTCGCCCTTCCCATTGACATTGTTTTAATATCGATCGATGTTACGAAACGAATAAACTATTTACAATAAAATAATAAGAATTTGCAAAAACAGTTTCTCATAGGAGCGAATCCAAAAGTCGACAAAGGGTAAAACATGTAAAATTATATAATTTTGAATCTTTCTTGTTTGCGCAAAAGGTGGCGCACAAGATGCAAAGAATCGAGCGTGATCGAAGTAGATCGATCGATCAACGATAGTCGTCCTTTTTTAAACAGAAGAATAGGAATCAACATTTGGCTTCGCGGATATTTCGACCAAAAATTCTAAGTAAATTTATCGAAATTCGTCAGAGTTCCAGTCTCTGATCCCCGAAATTCCAAGAGATCTATTATGCAACTACATTACGTGAATAATCCGATGTACGCACTGTGTCTTTTGGCAGCAGTTTGCGTACGGCAACATGTACAAAACGGGTACGTATCGTATGAAAATGGCTGTCGCGTACATAGAAAATGAATTTCTTAATAAATTTATAATTCTATCGATCGCAGAGGGGTTCAACCATTGACGAAGGGCGTATCACTGCAACGTCCAACGTCGGTGTTTATGAAACCAAACAAAGCCAGCCTGAAGTCAGTGAACGATATTGAAGAAGCGGTGTCTGAAATAAAATCGAAAAGTTGCAAATATCCGAAAATTGAAGAAGCGAATGCATTAGTTTTGTGCGTGCAGAACTTCGGAAAAAAGAGTCAAAGAATTATCGATCTTCAATCACCGGTAAGACGATATTTCAAAAGTCAACTAAATAAACTATTTGTAAATTGTTTTATAAGGTGTTTAAGATACTTTGTGGTATAATCTGAAAGGGGATAATTTTCTGTTGAAGAAATACAGAGCAGTTGTTTTGCCAAATTTATAAATTATTTAGCTTTTAAGAAAAACGATGTACTTTTGATAGATCTTATCTTTTTCTAAAAGCTGAATAGATTTTCTTTTCAGGAAAAGGACGAATACCGGGATTCCTCTTTCCCGTACAACGTACCTAGCTGGGTGCATTACTTATTCAACAACGTCGGCGTGAAATGGCTGGCTTAAAACGAAACATGTGAAATTAGTAATCAACCGAAGAGCCTGCAAACGATTTGACGAAGATCGAAGCGGATATAGGGGGTATTCGCAAATGATCTTTGTTAATTTCGATGAGGTAGCTCTTTTGACGTGAGTCATTTGAATTTTGTATTCATTGACGAACCAATCTTTCTCAATATTTTTTGTACTTCAGACGTCGTGTAAAGTACATTGTTCATGTAAACGTCGCTGCGATTAAATTAAATTTGGTGTCGCGCGCTTAGATTGGCGCCTACAAGCGCGTTGACACCAAGTACGCGCGTGTACTTGGAACAACTTTTTCATATATAAATATTCGTTGCAACGATAATTATAATTTAATAAATACCCATCACATATATATCAATTTGTTTCATTAATTCTAACATTTCCTTCTACTCATAATTAACGAATGATTTTTTCCCTATTTCGATCATTTCTGGCGGCATAAGGGTAGTTACGCCAATGGTTCCCGGTCTTGTCTCGCAATTCCATCCGTCAGAAAGTGGCGGCTCGAGCAGATTTCCAAATCTCCGGTACGTCGACGCCGGGCTCATTTGAATTTTCCCGGACAGGATGTGCACCGCGTGCATTTCAAATCCTCGGGGACACCCCGACGACGAATTATGGTCGAGTAAGATGGCCCGTTGCGAGAGGAAGAGGAACGAACGAGGACGGAACGACGTGACGGTCTGCGTGTATACGCGGATGGTAGTTTAAGAGCGAAACACCCGGTATCCAGAGCACGTCCGGACCGCGAAGAACTTATTGTCATGTGCAGGACTCGCCGGGGCATTTTAATATTTCCGCTGAATGCGACGAGAAAACCTGGTGAACGGGATGAGACGTATAGGCGTAGAAGGGAGCAACGAAAAAAGAAGAATAACCCGCAGACCTGGTGGCGAGGAATCGTTACCGGTAGACTGCCACTGGTCTTGCTTTTTCGACTCGGTGACAGGTGGCTGCGTACGCTTCTTAAAAAGGGGAACCCTTTGTTCTTTTTTTCTCTCACAAGCTATCTCTTACGGGTCGAGACAACACCACCGTTTAGAGAGGCTGGCGCCACGAAGCGCATAACGATACTCGAATTTAAATATTCACCGCCGGCGCTGGAAATGTATTGCTCACTGTTTGTTCCTCTTCTTCGTCTCACGACGGTTGGCGTAGATTGTTTTCATGTCGGACAATTAGCCTTGAGTTTTAATAGGGATGGTTAATTCTATCATACGAGTCATTTTTTATTAATCAAAGCAGTCGATATTGAATGATACGTTGTTATACGGGACTATCTTATTTTAGTGGAAAATGGCGTATAATATTAACCCATTAACTGCCAAATTTTTATTTTTGATATTTTTATTTAACATTTTATTTAATATAATCCTATTGCAAGTGATAAAAATATATATATATATTCAAATCCCCATTTGGGGATCGTGATAGCAAATGGGTTAAAAGTACAAAATTGAAATTTTATATTCTTTTCTCGTACACATTATTATAAAGTACCCCTGAAGAAATCATTTTAAATGAAGCGTTCCAGACCCTAATTTACCCCATTCGGTCTACAAATTTTCACAAACAGACAAAAAGCTCGTCAGCGTTCTGGCAACCGTGTAAATGTATCTCAATGAATTCGACAAATTTCTACCGTTCCCCCGAAACAACGGGAACGGAAGCTTGATTTGTATCAACGTGGCGATTCCCAGAAGTCACCAGTTATCCGCTGCGTGCGAAGCACACGCTACTTCGCGTACATATTTCACCGGAACGAGCAGATCTATCACTCGAATTCGTCCTGTTGCTCCAAGTGATGCACGATACTCGCTGCTTTCGACGTGCGACAATCCTCAGATAAATCGTGCTCGATCGCAACGCGTGTCAGCGTGTTACCGTGCCTCTTAAATGCCAGCTTGCGCGGTGCAAATCGTTCTGGTAGCCCGAACGACGATACATTTACATATTATGCGTACACGGTAGCTGGAACCTCCGGTTGCACCACGAACTGACTCTTAATGCCGAGAAGACGAACCCTCTTCTTCGGCTTAGACGTTACCCTAAGACGTGAGAATTTTAAGAAGAGGCTGCTTTTTCGGGGGTTCGCGATCATTTCTTGGACCATTCGTTTCTGGGATTCTTTTTAGAGCTAACGTTTGCTCGAAAATAATGAGAAACATTTAGATTCTCAGGAAATCTTCTTTTCATTTTATAGATAGAATTTATATAAAAATTGTTATGAAGCACTAATAAGCCTCTAAATATCCTCGAATTCAAAAGTATCGAAACTTTACGTGCGAAATCTCGATGCATGAAGCAACGCTTACTCCCTGAGAAAAAGAAGACCCTTGTTAAACGCCTGATTGGAAAAGTTCAAGCAACGGATACACGTATCAAGGGAGTTGCAACACGCGTCCTACGGTCGTGCAATTGTTATATTGTAGCAATAAGAGTTGCATCGTTCCTGGTCGTGGCACGCGATCGAAGTAAGTCCCCTATTGGTAAGCCTAATTGCAAGAACCACGGTATTTTCTCTGTGGGTTACATAACGAAATCACCTCTGCCGGCGTATCCGGATCTCGAGTTGTTTGTCGAAGGAATCGGTGTGAATCACCCCTCACGCGAGAATCGATCGGTGAACGTTCGTGTTCCGCGGTGTTTACAACGAAATCTACATTTCGTCGAACCGTCTTAAGTTCGACCAAGAAAAAGATGAGTAATTTATGTAGAATAGATTTCATCAAAGAATTTATCGATTTAAAGATCGTTCATTATTTTCACCTCTGTATTTTGCATATTTTAATACGTCATTATTGCATAAACGTTATATACTCGCAAATTGCTGCTTGGTATTATGAAAATATAGACACACGCTATGTAGCGAAACCATCGGAGGAAAATGAACCTGCAAATGGCTTTCACGCTTGCTCGAGACCATGAAACAAGATAAACGGGGTCCACGTTTCATTTTTTACCCTGTCGATCGTAAGTTCTCCGAGTCATCGTTCGAATCCACGGGATTAAGAAAGAAATCTTACTTTTCCCGCGCGACGAAACAAGGTGGAGAGGATCGTATCTTGCGTAGACGTCTCGCATCGCCGGATGCGCGTGTGCCTCCCTCGTTTCCGGCCGTAAGGCTGCTTAAGCTCATTGCCATGCTCGTCGCCACGCCCGCCCCCGGAATATGAAAACGAAATCATATTCTTTGTTTCGCTGCCTACCGATCGGCTCTTTTATTTCTTCCATTTAACACAATGAATGCTGTGTCGGTCATCCCTGACTATCACCACAAATTTAATATATACAGGGTGGGCCACGCAACTGTTTCAGGTGATAACTCTATTATTAACGCATTCATGAAAAAATGCCAAAGGAGAAAGTTAAATGATTCAAAGAGCACTACATCGGTAGGTCCTTAGATTTTTTTAATGCAAATAATGCACGTGCAATTAACGATTGCATTATTTTTTTAAATGGAAATGCATACTTTTTTTCCCACAGATTGAGTTCTCGCGATATTTACGAAAAACGATTTTATTTTCCAAACTTTAAACAGCCCTCTCTTTCTCACTTTCTATAATCAAATAAAAATAAGAAATATAATAACTACCAACAATAATAATCAACACATTTTTTTTCAATGATTTCAAAGCTACAATTCAAAGCAACTCGACTTGCATAAATTATTCCATAATCAGAATAACTGAATTTCTGCGGGCATTTTGCGTAATGAGTCCTACTGACGAGGCGAGATAGAAAGAGAATAGCAGCTATTTTAAAGAACATCTTAAAACATAAACCGTTGTGTTTTTTTTAGTATTCGATAAGAAGAAGCGATACCCGTTCGCAAACATCGACGACCATCCCAAGTCAATGGTAGCTTTCGTCAGGGCAACACAGTTTCTCAAGATCGCTCGTTAAGCCGGTAAAACCCACAACTACGTAATTGCAGCGATCATACGTTAGTTAGGTTAATAACTTTGCATTATAAATGTATTAAGCTCGAATCCAATTACGTCGGTTGCGGATTCGTTGCGAGATGTAGCCGGGGCAAACGTTCATTTCTCTCAGTCCGACGATTAATAACTCGGAAACGGGGCTACGAGGGGAGGGAAGACGTGCTAATTTTTGAACACTGAAATCAACCATTCGTTCACACGCTTCGCGAACAGGTATCTTCGGATTCGCTAAACCGAAACCCTATCAGCTACACTTCTGTTACTTCGTTTCGATTTCCTCAAACGCACGATGTAATATAAATGTAAAAAACTAACAACGCGGTTAAATTACGTAACCTGAATTTTAATGAAATTCTTATGAAACTATGCTTGATAAACTTTATACAAGATTAATTCCAGTAAAATTCGGTTACCTAACCGAAGCAATCTATAAGGAATAAATAATAATTTTTAGGATGAAGAAACTGACTTAACTGAAATGAAATGAATACCAAGTCTATAATCAAAATGGCTGAATTTAAATTCGATAGAATACTGAATTTCAAACTAACTACCCTCGCATCAATAATCATCAATTTCCAATCAAGTGTTCGCGTCTCATCCGAGACCGATAATTTCGTTGAAAAAATCTGGAACAGCAATTTGTCTAGATACGTTCCAACTTTTTCTAGCGATTGTAATAAGATAGAAAGGAAATCCAATCGATGTTATACGAACTGGCGAACGATTCGCCTTGCATAATCCGCTCGGAAGGCCCAAAGATCGCGGTAAAAATCCTTTAAAGTTACACCAGCTTAATTAGAGGTGAAGTAAGACGGCACTTTCCGCGTCACTGCTTCGACAGCGTGCAAGAAAAATCAACCGAACGACGCCGTCCACCGCGACAGCCCCGGATGCTTTCGAATGTTTCCCGCAATTTGCAATCATGAACGCCCAGTGCACGCGATGCGCATCTGGTGCATTCGAACGTCACGCTCTCGAGCGATTTTAACGCCTGTCAAAGCGGCATCGCGCTCGTACGGACGCAGCAAAGCGGAACAAAAGTTTCCTGGCTTTTCTTATATTTTCTAATCGATTTCGTACCTATATGTGTATCGAAATTGTGCCTGAAAGATTCCGAGTTATTCGAATATTCAAATTTCGAATCGGACCGAAGAACCTCCCACGATTTCGTGTATCTAATTACGCTTCTCTTCGCCAAGGAATTTCACAAACGGTCGATTCGAGAGGCGAGCAAACGACCGGAAGATTAGAGTCGAAAGGGGACACAATGGAACAATACGTTACGAGCGACGCGGAGGATGCACCGAACGAGATGACACGCAAATAAGTGTGCGAACGGTGACAGTGAAACACGGTCGCGATAGAGAAAAAAAAACGCGAGTGCCGCCGCGGGTGGCAATTAGT